GGCAGATGAGGATGCGAGATGGTCACCCCTGTGGGAGACCTGGTCTCTGGTCTCTGCCTCAGTCCTGGGTGCTGGGAGTATTTGGGGAGTGAACCAACTGGTAAAAATCTCTCTCTCCCTCTTTCAAATTAATTAATTAACTAAAACAAACAAAAACCCTGTGACACTGTACAAGTGATAAACTGTAAACAAAAAGTGTGTTGTGAGCTGAGTCTGGGACTGAGGAGATTCCAGGGAGATAGTTCAGCAGAGCTGGCCACACTCCTTAGCAGCTAGGGTCCCAGCTGGAACACAGAGCTGATGAGTTCAAAAGGAAAGCAAGGAAGGAAGGCCAAAGTTAATTCCTCTTCCATCAAAACAAAAGTTGCAGAAGGTTCAGGTTACTGTAAAAACAAAGTGCCCAATTACCCATGAGAGAGTGCAGCTTATTTAAAACCTCATCCTGAAATGGATTAACATCTATTTGAAAGTGTCCTATTACATTCTAGAAACAATAGGGATTGGTTTGGTTAGACCAACTCTGGGTGGCATCTTCGCTGCCTGGAGGCCTCCCAGCTTTCCTAGGTAATGCAGTCAAAGACTGTGTTTTGGAAATATTCAATACATGCAGGCTGGGATGGAATCCAGCACGATCTCAGGTTGCTCTGGGTGTCAGCTACCACACTAATCAATTATTGCTGAGTAAGAAAAGGGGTGCTGCGTTGTCCTGACACCTCACGCTCTACTTGTCCTTGTCCACTGTGGTTTCATAGGGTGTACACAATTTTCACTAATTCTGTGCTCACTTCAGAAAATTGAAACAATTTTCACTGATTCAACATCATGGCACATCCATCCTGAAGTCGGAGAACTTTTATGGCAGAGTTAAACTGTATGATTAGGAGAAAACAAAATAATAGCAGCAAAATGAGGTAGAAGTCAAATGTTGAAGACACTTGCAAGTATCCTAAACTTTTAACCAGCAAGTGATCTCCAATTGCCACTTTCAAAGAAAGTCTGTCTATGCATGTTGAGAATATTTAACATGCTGTTCAGTCAAATTTCCCTGAGTCTGGTACCAGATGAGGTAAGTGGACGATCCAGAATTCTGCTGGAACAGGAAGAGTGGGAGTTTGGAATGCAGATCTAGTGTAAAATGTGATACCAGGGCCCTACTTCTCTGCACCTGCACATAAAAAAGTTTCCCGAAGAAGAGTGATTTGCCAGATGACAGGTTAGGGCTGTGCTGGTGATGGTGGGCACCACAAAATATATGTGGGTATTTACATTTAAATCCATTTGAATGGAGGAGAATTAAACATTCAGTTCTTCTGTGACACCCTTTTCAAGCGCTCAAAGTAGGCACATTGCAGAAAGAGATGTGAAACTAGGTTGAGGACCAAATGGTCTGCTCATTGCTTCAGTTGTTCAACTGTGTAGACTTGAAATGTCCTGAGACTGAAACGTTCTTTCAACTTCACTGGTTTTCCATGAGGAATCGGGATGGGAGAGACACAGAAGTGGCTTTGGGTAAAAAGAATTTTGGGAGAAGAAAAGGAATCATTCTTAAAAAAAAAAAAAAAAAACCCTCAACCTGTTGGGTCTCCAATGCCTCTTGGTTTGTGACTTGAACGGATGTGGTGTTGAGTAAACACCAACAAAAGGTTTCTTAACGTTTTATCACTTTTCTGGCACTTGCATACCCTTTGTGGGGGGTGTTGTCTTTCAGTCTAGTAACCACTGGCTCTGAAAGAAACTTCAGACACCCAAGAGGCCTGGGCAGCCAGAGCAGAGGAAATCAAAGGAGGCCAGGATCAAAGGAGCAAACAGCCCTGCGGATCTCAAGGTGGCAGTAGAACCATTGACTCCCCTGGGCTCCTGAGCCAGCTCCCGGGCAGCAGAGGGGCCTAGTGAACAACAAAGCACATCCCGGGAAGAGAGTACTTAGCACTTGGCGAGGAAAGGCAGGCCTCTGTGATGGGGTGAGTTGGCAGCAACAGCAGCACTGGTGGGAAAGGCCGAGGGCACCCGCGTGGCCCCAGCCCTGCTTTCCCCTGCCGCCTCTGGCCTTAACCAGCCTCTCCCCACCCTGTAGCATGTACCTGGGAGGCCAGACTTCTATTTCTCCTTTGCTCTGCTTCATAGCCACAGATGCTGTTCACAGTCCAAAACAGAATCCATGGCCAGAGCTCAGCACATTGAATGATGGGCTGGCCCTGCTGTCAGAGCTGCACAATCCAAACCCTCACCTTCAGCTGACCCTGAACTTGACTTTGCTGTTGGAAAAGCTGACATGCTCCTGTTGAGAAAAGTACTTGAAGAAACCTTACATTTCAAAATGATCTACTTTAAGAAAATCAGTGAGCTCTCTCCATTTTGCCATGTTTCAGATGGGGAAATGTGTACACAAGTGTTCATGGTATGTTTGCAACAGGTAACTGAATAAGGAATCTAGAACTTGGGTTAGGTTAAAAATTACTTACAGTTTTACAAGGATTTGACCAACAAAAAGAAGAATAGAAAATATGTGGATTTCCAGTGAAAAGACACAAGAGAGACTCAACCCTGTGGCGGCTTCTATCTCGCCATATCCTTGAAAATCCCAGGGCTTCAGGGAAATCCACTCACAGAGGGAAGTACTGGCTTCTCTCAGACCTATTCCATCTGTATTTTGGTTGTACCATTAGTTTTAGTTTTTAATTAGAATTCACCAGTTTTCCCACTCACATCCTTTCCAATTTCCAGGATCTAATCCAGAATATCCCATTGCACTTAACCACCCAACAATGAGCTGGAAAAGGGACTTACAACCATAATGCATACACATATAATTTAGAAGTCACGTTATTCTGAAGGGGATGGAAGGCTTGCTTCCTGGCCCTGGGTGTCCATAGTGGCCTGAGGGAGGTCCCGTCTTCAGCACATCTGGCACATGCCATCCAGTCGTCACTGAAAGCCAAAGGAGGAAGGACGGGGAGAAGTGTACAAGTCTCATTTCCATACAGAAGCTATCATGCAACAGAAACTCCCAGGAAAACAGCCGTGAACACATCAAACCTCAACTGAATGCTGGGGTTCTCACCACCCCATTCACAGAGAGAGAAAAGCCTGAATTACAGTACACATTTAGACTGAAGCACTCCTGGCCAGGGCAGCCATGGCCTTTGCTTTCTCCACAGGTCCACTTTCCTGGCAGGCTTATGTTCCTTCCACCAATGAGGCTTGCACAGAAAGCCCGGGGGAGGGGGGGTTCCACAGAGACCTATTGGAGAATTCCTGTGACCCCAGAGTATCGGACTTACTCTACACCTGGCTGGTAAGCTTCAGCTGGCAGCCAGCAGCTGGCAGACCTGAGCTTTCCTGTGTGCCTGGTCCCCTATAGCCACAGCTGTGAATGCATCCATTCCTGCAGCCTCCACAGGGAACCTAATGGGCCTAGTGTGCCTGAGAGGGAATCACCGCCAAGGCCAGGAGGGGCCAAGGCTGCCCTGCCTCCCTGGTGTAGGGCAGGAGGAGGAGGGCACGCAGCAATCACAGCGATCATGTCTGGTAGTCAGCTTGGCACACCAGCTTTGGCATCACCAGGGCCCTTGTCTGGACTGCAATGTATTTCCTGATTTGTAAACATGCGGTGCTTAATACCTACTTTGTAGGACATGGAAAGTCCCCCAGCCCAGCACCATGACACTTCTCAATGGTTTTTAGAAATAAGTTCAAGAATGAACAAGCATAGAAAAATGCCAGGTCTGACCTTCAGTTCCATACATCCTAGGTCAGAAATCCAAACCATCCAGTGTAGGAAGGGGAGGGGAAGGCACAGAAAAGCAGGCCACGCGGTCTGGCTGCTTGGGGTCAGGGATCTGGTTTCCTGGCACCCCCAGCCTCGCAAGAAGGTTCAGGTCCCAAACTCATAGCAGCAACTCCAAGAACACTTCCTGTTTTGACTGTGGGAACCAAGTTGAAGTCAGCCTGGTTCTTTGGAGATTATCTATGGTGAAAAAAGCCAGGACTTGAGTGCCAGGAAAGACCTTCCTAAGAAGGCGTGACTCCTAAGCCACAATGGCTTCCCGGGGACTGGGAGCAGGGGGATGCAGGCCATTCTGTAAATGACCGCCGCGGACACCTGTCCAGGGTCCAGTCGAGCAGCTGTCAGAAGCTGATACTGAATGTGGCCTTGAATGAATGAAGAGGGGGGCAGGGAGCACAGATCCATAAACCACAACTGAAGACCAAAGGCTGGGCAAGAGGGGCAGGTGAAATGTGCTGTAAAGGGGCATGGCAGTCACATGGAGCACCTGTGACACACACACACACACACACACCACCCACCCCGCTCCACCTTTAACTAGACTCTCGGTCTAGGGTGTCGCTGGGCATCTCCAGAAAAGCTAAACCACAGGGCATAACATGCTGCTGGAACTCCAGGCAGGGCAAGCTGCTTTATCTTCACCCTCTGGGCCAGGATGTGTTAGAGAGGTCCGAGGTGCAGCACCTTGGCTGTTTGACCAACCTGCTCCAGGGTCTGGCACATAGCAGGGGTGGTAAATAAACAGCTTTGATGACGGCAGGCAGGATCACGGTTGAGGCAGAGGAGACCCCGAGCAGCCCCAGGCTCCAGGCCCTTCTGTTGGGTCGACCTGGGCTGTGAGTTGCTGAGCGCCGTGCCACCCCCGACCCCCGGGGCCCACGACTTCAGAGTCCCGTGGGCTACCCCACCCTGAGCAAATCTCTTGGGGATGTGGATTGCGGCTGCGGGGCTGACGGGGCGGGAGGCAGGGGGAGGGGGACAGTGGAGGGCCCCAGACCCAAGTTCGCGCCTCCCTCCCCATCCCACGGTCTGCGGAAGCGATTATTCCCACCGGCGTCTGGCGGGGCCGGGGGCGGGATCACACCCGAAGAGACACGGGCCTCCCCGCGTCCACCGCTTTGATGGCGCCGCCACCGCCGGCTCCCTCCCCTCGGGCCGGGGTCGGTATAACTGGGGCCGGGTCCCTGGCCCAGGCGCACTGGGCTCCAGAGCTATGGCCGCTGCAGGGTCCCGCCCGCTCCAGTTCGCCGACGGCGCCGTATTCCCCGCCTTCCGGCCAGTCCACGCCACCGGGCCCTTTCCGCCACCCCCAGGCACCGGGGCTGGCCTGCTCCCCGCGGGCCCGCACTCCGAGCGCCGCGCCCACGCGCCCCACGCCGGCTTTCTCTCCCGGGACCCTGTGCCGGCCGCGCCGCCACCAGCCAGCCTGGGCTCGCCGGCGCCGCCTAAAGGCGCGTCGGGCGCGTCGGCGTCGCAGCGCCGCAAGCGCACCTCGTTCAGCCCCGAGCAGCTGCGGCTGCTAGAATTGGTCTTCCGCCAGACCATGTACCCCGACATCCACCTGCGCGAACGCCTGGCCGCACTCACCTTGCTCCCCGAGTCCAGAATCCAGGTGAGCTGCCCTCCGCGTTCGCAGGTGCGCCCCGGCGCGGAGGCACTGCGCGCGTCAGAGCCGGGATCCCCAGAACAGTTGCTTCTCTTGGACCTTGGTCTTCCAGACTGTAGAATGGGGATGGGATCCGGTGTCTTTTGCATAGGGTGAAGGTGAGGGCTGAAATAAGTCTGCACTCAGTGACTCCCAGCTCTCAAGAGCTGGTCTCTTGAGACGGTTAGGAATGTAATCCTCAGCAGGAAGGTGACATAGGCTATTTTATGCTCCCCCTCTCCTCCGCTCCCCCCAGGGGAAAACAGGGAGGAGACACAGCTGGAATTCCCCTGTGGTTTTAAGTTTGGGAGTGATGGTTGGAAGGACATGGGCAGGCTCAGCACATTCCCTGCTTGCTACTTTCTTGGCAGGTGTTCCTTTAAGGACTTTGTTTCCAAAGGATGTATGACATTCTGTGTAGAGCCCCAAATCCGTGGCCCTCCTTTCCACTGTTTGCAAGGTCTAGCGCAAAGCGTGTTTATAATGGAGCTTAGATCAAAGTCCCACTGTCTGCAGTTTTAAGCAGCAGCCTTCATTTGACACCAGTAGAGGGTAGCCTCCCTCTCTTTTCCTCTGCACCCTGGTGGTGCACTGTCAGTTTATATATATATATTTAAAGTTTTATTTGTTTTTATTGGAAAGTCAAATATACAGAGAGGAGGAGAGACAGAGAGGAATATCCTCCGTCTGTTGATTCACTCCCCAAGTGACCACAATGGCTGGTGCTGCGCCCATCCAAAGCCAGAAGCCTGGAGTCTCTTCCAGGTCTCCCATGCAGGGTCCCAAGGTTTTGGGCCATCCTCGACTGTCTTTCCAGGCCACCAGCAGGGAGCTGGATGGGAAATGGGGCCTCCGGGATTAAAACCAGTGCCCAAATGGGATCCTGGTGCATGCAAGGTGAGGACTTTAGCCACTAGGCTACCGCGCCAGGCTAGTCAGTTTCTATTTTTAAATTTATGTTCATCTTATTTCATCATACGTTAATCTTATTTCACAGATGGGAGGACAGGTATCTCCCATTTGCTGGTGGGATGCCAGCAGCAAACTGCCCAGGAAAAAGCCTGGAACTCGAATCTGGTTCTTTCCAAGGAGTATCAGAGACCCAAGGACTTGAGCCACCATCTGCTGCCTCTCAGGGTGTTCCTTAGCAAGAAGCTGGGTCCAAAGTGAAGGTGCGACTGGGGCTAGAGGACTCTGATAATGAGGGTGCAGGTGGCCCAAGCAGTTCGCAAACTGGTGTGCCAAAAGCCAGCCCCTGTCCTTTCAACGTGGGTCCTGAGCTTCCTTATTAGGGCACCTTCAGTATTTGTGGAGTAGTGAACAGAAAAATGTATACATAGAAATGAGATCTGTGTATCCCAAAACAGTTTTTTTTTCCTCCCTCCTTCCTTCCAGGTGTGGTTCCAGAACAGGCGTGCCAAGTCCCGGCGACAGAGCGGGAAATCCTTCCAAGCCTGCAGCAGGCCGGAGCTTTTCCCCAACCCCTGTGCTCCTGCAGCACCCGCGGTGAAATGTTTGAAGCCCCAGCTGCCTCCGGAGAGCGCCCTGAACTGCTTGCCAGATCCCAGCGGAACTGGAGGGGGCGTGCCTGACTCTAACCTCCAAGGCCAGCATTTTGAAACCTATTCCCCTCTCTCTGAAAACACGGGATCAAAGCTGGACTCATGGGAGGAACACGTCCTTTCGGCCTTCGGCAACTTCTGAAACTCCTGGGGGAATTCGGGATAAGCTCGGAGGACTGATAGATGGGGCAACGCGCAAGAGGATCTGGTCCTTTCTGAAGTCCACGTTAGAGGTGACTTCCGTGGTTAGTTTTGCTGGCGGTTCCGACAGCTCTCACCCTTGAACGTGCCTCCCTTTTGTCCAGGAACCTTGGCTCCCTGTCGAGGAGTTCTGGCATCTGTTTTCACCTGTGTCTGACATTTAGTGGGGTCTGCACCCCTGAGCCATCTTGCCAGGCCAAGACTGGCTCAGAACTCGTCGTCTTCTTCCCAAGAACCCCTCATAACTGTCAATCACCGTATCTGCTTTTATGGTCTGTCCAAGGATTATGACGTAAACTCCCTCTCACCCATCTTCTCAACCCAAGTTGGATTACCAGGAGCTATTACTTTTGTTTTCTGGGTGCTTTTTCAATTGTCAAGTAAAAATTATAGATATATTTATGGTGTACAGCATGATATATGGATATATTGTAGAATGGCTACATCCAGCTATTTACTGAATTAATCCACATACTTTTTGTAGTGAAAACACTTTAAAAATCTTAGGATTTTCAAGTATACATTGTTATTTTAGTCATAAGATAGTCTCTTGAACTTACTTTTCTGTCTCACCAAGATTTTCTATCCTTTGCCCAATGTCCACGTAACCTCCCCGCTGTTTTCATCCAGATTATTTTAAGAGCCAATCTGTAGTAGCTGCCAGTTGGCATGAAACTCCCAAAACTTTGTTACTCTCCCAGATAATCAGTATCATCTTTTTAAAGAAAACTGTTTTACAGTGAGACAGAGAAGGAGATGGACAAGATCTTCCATCGATTGGTTCATTTCCCAGATGTCAGGAGCCAGAAACTCAATCTGGATTTCCCGTGTGGGTGTCAGGGATGTGAGGACTTGAGCCACCACCTGCTGCCTCCCAACATCAGCAGAAATGCAGAAATTGGGAGCAATGCCAGGCCTCAAGCCCAGGCATTCCAACATGGTATGTGGTGTTTTCATTCTTGGGCCTAACCCTCTACCCTGACATCATCTTTATCTACAATATATATACATCTTAAGGTCACTGATCCAGAACATGTGCCTCTGTCTTAAAGCAATTTTTAAAGATTTATTTATTATTTATTTGTAAGACAAAGTTATAGAACCTTCCATCTGATAGTTCACTCCCCAAATGACTGCAGTGCCTGAAGCTGAGCTGATCTGAAGGCAGGAACCAGGAGTTTCTTTCAAGTCTCCCATGTGTGTGCAGGGGTCTAAATGCTTAGGCTGTCCTCACCTGCTTTCCCAGGTGTATTAACAAGGAGCTGGGTTGGAAGTGGAGCACCCAAGACTCAAACCAGAGTCCATGTGGGATGCCAATGCCGAAGGTGGCATCTTTACTCCTCAGTCATTTCTTCGCTTTGGAACAAACTAACACCTTTCTCTTCCAAAACACCTGATACCCTTCCCTACCCCTTCCCCTCACCACTGCCTCAATGCAGTTCTGATGTGTGAAACTTTCTCTAACCCTGATTTTGGGCCTGTTGCTTTGATCATTCCCACATCATCATTAGCACTTGGTCCTGTACTTCTTGTGAAACTTGAGTGGATAATTAATTAAATGTTTTTCACAAGTGTTTTCATGTCATTTCTTTTTTTAAAATTTATTTATTTTTATTACAAAGTCAGATATACAGAGGATGAGAGAGAGGAAGATCTTCCGTCTGATGATTCACTCCCCAAGTGAGCGCAATGGCCAGTGCTGTGCCAATCCAAAGCCAGGAACCAGGAACTTCTTCCAGGCCTCCCACACGGGTGCAGGGTCCTAAAGCTTTGGGCTGTCCTCGACTGCTTTCCCAGGCCACAAGCAGGGAGCTGGATGGGAAGTGGAGTTGCTGGGATTAGAACTAGCACCCATATGGGATTCTGGCGCGTTCAAGCCAAGGACTTTAGCTGCTAGGCCACGGCGCCAGCCCTCCATGTCATTTCTGTTTAAGTGATTTCTGTACATTAGCTTGCTCATAGTGTGGTGCCTCATGGCAATTTACATTATATGAGCATGCTACTGCGCTGAGAAACTTAATTTGGTTAAGAGAAGAGGCTTGCTTGTCCAGTAACTTCAATAAAATTTTTGGTTTGAAGTTTATTTCTTAATTTTCTTTTTTTAAAAATTTATTTTTATTGCAAAGTCAGATATATAGAGAGGAGGAGAGACAGAGAGGAAGATCTTCCATCTGATGAGTCACTCCCCAAGTGACTGTAACAGCCTGAGAGGAGCTGATCTGAAGCCAGGAGCTTCTTCCGGGTCTCCCACGAATGGGTGCAGGGTCCCAAGGCTTTGAGACATCCTTGATTGCCCTCCCAGGCCACAAGCACGGAGCTGGATGGAAAGCGGAGCTGCTAGGACTAGATCCGGTACCCATATGGGATCCTGGTGCATATAAGATGAGGACTTTAGCTGCTAGGTCACCGCACTGGGTCCGTAATTTATAATTCTTAATGTATGTATAAATGATTCTAAGCTATCACCAGATTAAATAAAGGAAGGATTTTAAATTCCTGGAGGGCAAGGGAAACTGAGTGTGATGTGACCATGGTTGAGTTTTCTGGGTAACTGTGCTAAAGTAGCCTCTGGTCTTTATGGTCACTGAAGAACTTATGGTGTGCTGAGGGTCTTAGAGAACGTGCCAAGGCACTTAAGCAATCATGGAAGAGGTGTCTTTTTTAAAGAATTATTTATTTTTATTGGAAAGGCAGATTTACAGAGAGGAGAGACAAAGTGAAAGATCTTCCATCTGCAAGTGGCTGCAACAGCCAGAGCTGAGCCAATCCGAAGCCAGGAGTCAGGAGCTTTCTCGGGGTTTCCCATGTGAGTGGCAGGGTCCCAAGGCTTTGGGCCATCCTTGACTGTTTTCCCAGACCACAAGCAGGGAGCTGAAAGGGAAGTGGAGCCCCTGACATGAACTGATGATCGTAAGGAAAGCCAGTGCTTACAAGGTGAGGATGTAGCCATTTAGCTATTGTGCCTGGCCCCAATTCTATCTTTTAAGATTGGCACTCTGGCTGCGTTGAAAGAGGGCTGATATGTACTTGGGTGGTATACTAAGAGATGAATTCAGTGTGCCAGGCTTGTGCTAAAGCAGTCACGGTAATGAAGAAGGTGAGATGGATGTGCATGGATTCCAGGGGGAAAAAAATTGAGACAAATCTTTTTGTTGATTCTCAATGGTATTAAGTGAATATGAGTTTTATAATTAGTGTAAAATAACTCAGAACCAAACCTATATAAATAAAAAGTATGTGTGCCTGATTGCTCAGTCTGGCTTTGACAGGTTTCTTCAGAGCTCCAAAAATGTATTCATCAGGGACAGTGTCATTTAAGTCAATATCCAGGTGACACAAAATGACTACTCAATTATACAGAGTTCTCCCCTAAACAGAAATAAAACTCAAATTCTTTGGACAATTTTTAGTGTTAACACATGCTAGCACTGAAAGATAATCAGTGCTTATAAAACGAGCCACTATTTAAGCATGACAAATGAGCCTTCAGCACCACCAAAGGAAAAATGTATAAAACATCCAATTCTAGGCAGAATATATTTAAATCAAAATTTTCTCTAGGTCTACACCAGGCCAAATGACAGGCAGGTGCACTATGTCCAGTGACCACAGAAAAAAAGAAATCCTCCATAAAGATAATATTGGGTACTTCAGAATAACAAATTAATCTGTATTATGTCCCCTAAAAATAAAATTCTTCAAACTTTTTAAACAAAAGGAATATTTATCAACTTATATTAATTGAGAACATAGGCAATAACTTTCATAGATCAATTTATTTAGAATTACAAATATTAAGAATAAAAGATTTATGCATCTCTTAGTTAACATAACAGTTTAGCTCAATATAAACTCTGCACTAAAGGTTTGCTGTGGCACAATACCAACAAAGAATACAGAAGCATTTTTAAACTATACAAAAGTTTCAAATGGAAAAGAATCTTGTTTTATTATACATTAACATATATAAAAGTCTCATTTTATGAGACATCTAAAAGAATCAAAACCACCGCTATAGCTCTATCTGAAAACTCCAAATCTGAGGACAATTTATTATATTTTCACTTTGTAATATTCTATATTAAAACAAAATTCCAAATACATATATTTTTACAAGATTAACATTTTAGAGGGGTTTTCTTAAAAAAAAAGAAAAGAAAAAAACAAAAGAAAAACAAAAATGCAAGAAAACAAAACAACCAAAACAAACCTTTCTTCTGCATTTCACAGCACTGGTTATTACATTTGTTTTCCTTATAAAATCTTTTCACCTTATAAATTGTATACTGCTGGATTTTAACCAGTAATCTGGTTTAAAAGTTGTGCAAATAAACAAAAATATGAAAATAGTGTGTTATCAGTCTTTTTCATCTTAATAAATCTCATAACAATAACACTTTTTGCCCTGAATCAATGGGAAAAGACACGCCAAATCCACTTCTGAAATTTAGCACTTTGCAGTAATGTTTTTTTCCTGCTCCTTCATTTTCTTTCAACAGTTTTTTTTATAAATTATGATAAATTAAAATATTATTATAAAATGATCTATAGAACCATGTCACATTGCAAGTATATGCCATATATACTTGTAAAGTTCATATGTCCCATTATATTCCAGTGGCTTCCTTAACACTAGGACTTTCCACACCTCAGGATGTATCTTCTGAGGACCGAGATGGTGCTCCACTAGGCCAACCGGAGTGAATTTTCCAGGCGGAATTTCCACATTGCCACCAGGTGCACATAAAGACCATGTTTCTTCATGTTCTCCACTGCAGTAGTTGTCTACATGTCTTGGGTTGAATTCATGCACATTTGAAACAATGGTTGTTTTTCTTCCATGAAATTCTATTTTGTTCAGACGTTTTTCAATTTAAAAATACTTGCTAACAAACATTTGTAACATAAGCAATGCTACTGCATCTAAAAGATAAGTTAATATGATGGCAGACAGCACTGCTGGCTGAAGCAGTACAGTATATGAAAAGGACACTAGAGATTCAAGTCTCCCTTCTTTGCCAGCTGTGAGATTACTCGGTGTCAGAAGCCTACTGAAAGGAACGGGACTTATCCGAACCAGCGCCCTCTGCAGTCGGACTCATGCACCTGCTGCTCAGTCTCGGTTAGTGTTATTTGCTGCAAAGGCATGTAAGTTTCCCATCTGGCTCAAGCCGCTCTGAATATGTGCAACATGGATTTCTACATTATTCTGGAAGCAACTGAAGAAAGAAGGAGCATGGTTAATCACTTTATTTTACAACATTATGAACAATTAAAAAAAAAAAGCTGAAGGTGAAGATAGTTGAGGACAAGAGCTAAACTAGATAATCACAGGGAAGAAGTGACTGCCCAGATGCAATTGCCAGGATTCCACTCCCGTGAAGGCTGACACAGCTTTGCGCTGCTCCGAAGCAGTAAAGGGGCCACAGAGGAGCTGGGAAAAGGGGGTGAGCCCCTGCAACTGGGGGAACTCCATTCTCCACACTGAGTTTCCGTCCTAACCACAAATGCAATTAGTTCATATCTCCTGCTCCTTCGACATAAAAAAAATTAATTTGTGAAATTTCTATTGTCAGTAGACAGAAGCTCTGGGGTGGTGCTGCAGTCCAATAGTTAAGCTGCTGCCTGCAATGACTGCATTCCACATGCTCCCTGCTAATGTGCCTGGGAAAGCACTGGAGGATGGGCCGAGTATTTGTGTCCCTGCACCCCCTTGGGAGACGTGGAAGAAGTTCCTGGCTCCTGACTGTGGCCTGGAATAGAGCTGGCCATTACAGCAATTTGGGGAGCGAACCAGTACATGGAAGTACTGTAACTCTGCCTTTGAAATAAATAAATAAATCCTAAAGCATACCTTAAATATAAAAATACAGGAATACTTGACAAATATGCATAATTCTTAAAAGTTGTACTGAAAATCACTATGAATTTAACATAAAAACCATTAGGTGTACCTAAGGAATTACCTGATATTAGAAGCATCTATTGTATTCTTGATATCATTTAATGAATCTGTAAGTGATTTGAATTCAAAAGAATTCAGGTCTCCTCCTTCTGCCAGACACTGAAGAAAAAAAATTTCAAGATCAAGTTGAATTATAACTCAAACATAGATACAAAATCAGCACCATTTGCTTAGCATAAAAATTAAGAAAAAATTCACTGAAAATTACCTTAATCTGTAATAAAATTGCAGTCAACCTGGAGATTAAGTCTGTTAGATTTTTGTTTTCAACACAGGGATGTCCCGTTGAGGAGTTGGCATGCCGAACAATTTCCTGGGCCTCTTCCTCACACCTCCGTCTCAGGTCAGTGGGCTGGTCTGCAGGCTGCAGGCCCTGGTCTGGAGCAAGCTGAACAGAGACCACGGAAACTTGAGACGAGCATTCGTGAACTATTATTTCTGTATGTGTTGGTGTTCTCTTTTCAGCTGTGGACTTTCATCAAACCAGCGCTTGTAACTAAAATAACATTCACTTCCAGCTTCAAATAATTCTCTTATAGCTTTTAATATTCAAATTAGACCAACTATCCCAACAGTATCCTATGCACAAGCCTAAGAATATTTGCTTATTCTGTCTCTTTAGACAACTGTATCTGAAACTGTTTCTCAGTTGCTTAAGCCCTTAATAATTCTGAGGTGTAGCAGTCAGTCATTTTGTGTAATACTCTTCCATGTGAATTTATTTCCTTATGATTAGAATGAAATTTACTTTCTTTTTGGCAGAAATACCACAAAAGTAATGCTGAATTCTTTCTGTGTTTCATTACTGAAGGCATATGATGCTGATCTGTCCCACTGCTGACAATGTTAATGTTTAGTTACTTGGTTAAGTGGCCAGATTTCTCCATAGTGAAGGATTTCTCCTTTGTAATTAATACATATTTGTGAAGAGGTATTTTGTGCAGAGAATGTAAAGATTCTATTTGTTATCAATTTTTTTTAAAGATTTATTTATGTTTATTGCAAAGGCAGATATACTGAGAGGAGGAGAGACAGAAATGAAGATCTTCCACCCGATGATTCACTCCCCAAGTGAGTGCAATGGCAGGTGCTGTGCCGATCTGAAGCCAGGAGCTTCTTCCACACAGGTGCAGGATCCCAAGGCGTTGGGCCGTCCTCGACTGCTTTCCCTGGCCACAAACAGGGTGCTGGATGGGAAGTGGAGCTGCTGGGATTAGAACCGGCACCCATATGGGATTCCGGTGCCGTCAAGGCAAGAACTCTGCCGCTAGAGTGTGTGCCGGGCCCTGTTATCAAACTTTTACCTACCAATTTTAGTATCCATCAACAATTTTTGTCTATGTCAATTATTGTGATGATTGCCAAATCATGTTTTTCATTTTTTATCACTCTACATTTACAAGTTGCTGTGTATTATATGGAAGAACTCTCGCTTAAAAAAAATATCAGCAGAGACTCATGGCTTATTTTATTCTGTGGGTTATAATCTCTTAATAAATGGAGATATAGTTGGTGGGCATTGTCAAGCCAACTCCTTTTGGCATGGCCCCACCATTTTTGGGGACATTTTATTTCCTGGGCTCATTTTCCACCTTCTTGGCCATAGGTCTGAAAGGAGTCTCTGTTAAGGAGCTCTGCTGCTTGTCAGCAGGGCACAGTGTTTAAAGACCACACTGTGGGCACTAGGTGACGTCCTTGCCACTAGGGCATCACTGCTGCCAGGCTTGCTCAGCAGGCAGAGACCAACGGCACACAGTCAACACACTGTGCTCCAGCCTGGAATAACTTTGTCCTTTCTTTTGAAACATAGGAAGGTTTGTCTCTTTCTGCTTGTATTCATTTTACAGTTTCTTTTTTTACTTCTTAAAAAAGATTTATTTATCTGCTTAAAAGGCAGTTAACATCAGAGAGAGATTTTTATCCGCTGGATCACCTCTACAAATGGCTGTGACACCGGAGCTGGGACAGGCTCACGCCAGGAACCAGGAACTCCATCCTAGTGTTCCATGTGGTTGCCTTGGGCCATTTCCGTGCCTGTGAAAGCCCATGTATTTGTGCCTTTACCAGCCATGAGAAGATACCTGAATGAAACTCCTGGCTTTGGCCTGGACTAGCCCTGGCTGCTGCAGTTACTTGGGGACTGAATCAGAGATGGCAAATCTGCCTCTCCCTTTCTCTGTGAAATTCTGATTTTTGAAATAAAAAAATAATTTAAAAAAATGTGATTTAGGGGCTCAGAGCGGTAGCCTAGCAGCTAAAGTCCTCGTCTTGCACACGTCAGGATCTCACATGGGCAATGGTTCTAATCCTGGCAACCCTACTTCCCATCTAGCTCCCTGCTTGTGCCCTGGGAAAGCAGTTGAGGATGGCCCAAAGCCTTGGGACCCTGCACCTACATGGGAAACCTGGAAGAGGTTCTGGGCTCCTGGCATCAGATTGGCACATCTCTGGCCATTGAGGCCATTTCAGGAGTGAATCAGTGGACAGAGGAGCTTCCTCTCTGTCTCTCCTCCTCTCTATCTGCCTTTGCAATAAATATAAATAAATCTTAAAAACAAAAGTGATTGGGCTTTGCGGCGTGGCCTAGTGGCTAAAGTCCTCGCCTTGAACGCCCCAGGATCCCATATGGACGCTGGTTCTAATCCCAGCAGCTCCACTTCCCATCCAGCTCCCTGCTTGTGGCCTGGGAAAGCAGTCGAGGACGGCCCAAAGCTTTAGGACCCTGCACCTGTGTGGGAGGAAGTTCCTGGCTCCTGGCTTCGGATTGGCACAGCACCGGCCATTGCGCTCACTTGGGGAGTGAATCATCAGACAGAAGATTTTCCTCTCTGTCTCTCCTCCTCTCTGTATATCTGACTTTCCAATAAATAAATGAATCTTGAAAAACAAAAAAGAACAAAAGTGATTTGTTTTAGGGGTCAGTACTATGGCATAAAAGGCTAATCCTCTACCCATGGCACTAGCATCCCATATGGATACTGGTTCGTGCCCTAGCTACTCCACTTCCCATCCAGCTCCCTGTCAGTGGCCTGGAAAAGCAGCACAGGATGGACCAAGGCCTTAGAACCCTGAAATCATACAGAAGACCTGGAAGAGGCTGCTGGCTCCCATTTGACTGGCCCAGTTCTGGCTGGTGTAGCCATTTGGAGGGTGAGTTAGCAAATGGAAGATCTGTTTCCTCCCCTCCTCTGTAATTCTTTCATTTAATATAAATATTTAAAACTTATTTATTTATTTATTTATTTATTTATTTATTTAAAAGGCAGAGTCAGAGCAAGGGAAAGATAAAGAGAGAGAGAGAGATAGGTCTTCTATACACTGCTCCATTTCCCAAATGGTCACAACAGTCAGGGCTTGCTAGGCCAAAGCTGTGAACTTCTTGTGGGCCTCCTAAATGGGTACAGGGTTCTAAATAATTGGGCCATCTTCTACTATTTTCCCAGGAGCATTAATTAGGGAGCTGGATCTGAAGTGGAGCAGCCGGGACATGAACCAGTATCCCTATGGGATGGATATTTATTTATTTGGAAGGAAAAGTGAGGTAGAAAGAGATAGAGTACCCATCCTGATTCATTCCCAAAATGCCTGGAATGGCTGCCCTTGCTAGGTCAGGCTATACCCAGGACAGGAACTCCATCCAGGTATCTCATATCAGTGGCTGGGACTCAACCACTGAATCTTTGGCCTAGGGTATGTATTATCAGGAAGTCAGAATTGAGAGCAACTGAAAGCAAATCCAGGCAATATAGGATGTAGGTATCTGAAGTAGCATCTTAACCCCATATCAAACACCTGATCTTCATTCTCCTTCTTTCCTTTTATTCCCGCCCTTCCTCTTTCCTTTCATTTTTAAAAAAGATCTATTCATTTTATTAGAAAGATGGAATTACCGAAACAGGGAGAGCCAGAAAGAGATCTTTCACTGGCTCACTCCCTAAATGGCTTCAACAGCCTGAGCTAGACCAATCTGAACCTGGAGCCTCTTCTGAAACCCCCATGTGGAAGGAGAGACCCAAGGACTTGGGCCATTTTCTGCTGCTTTCCCAGACATATTAGCAGGTAAGTAGGTCAGAAGTGGAGCAATTGGGACTTGATGGAATACTGTTGTCACAAGTGGCAGCTTGCCATGCTATGCCACAATGTCAGTGCCCCTCAGTTTTCTTACAGTGGTAGCATTCCATTGTATGGCTGTACCACAAATTGTTTAGCCAGTTTCTTACATGTACACACCTTTTTAAAAAAATTCTACAAATACCATGATGCCACACTGAATGATCTTCATTCCCCTACAGATTCTTCTTAGGACTTTTAAAAAGTTTTTTTTTTTTATAAAGATTTATTTTTTTTATTATTTTTTCATTGGAAAGGCGGATACACAGAGAGGAGAGACAGAGAGGAAGATCTTCCGTCCCATGATTCACTCCCCAAGTGAGCGCAACGGGCCGATGCTATGCCGATCCGAAGCCAGGAGCCTCTTCCGGGTCTCCCACGCGGGTGCAGGTTCCCAAAGCTTTGGGCCGTCCTCGACTGCTTTCCCAGGCCACAGGCAGGGAGCTGGAAGGGAAGCGGGGCTGCCGGGATTAGAACTGGCGCCCATATGGGATCCCGGGCGTGCAAGGCGAGGACCTTTAACCACTTGCGCCACCGCGCCGGGCCCAAAAAGTTTTAATTTGATACAAACATATACACATAAGGTATATAAATCAACAAGCATACAGACCAATTTTTCACAAATGAAACATGCCTTAGGAGTGAGCAAGCGGGGTAAGGAACAGAGCCTTACCTGTACTGCAGTGGCGCTCCCAAGCCATCCTGCAGTTTTGCCTTCCTAGTATCACCCCCATCCTGAAAGCAGAGCTTCTCAGAAGAGCTCTGGCTGCTCATGAGCTCCACAGAATGAAATCAGACACACTTTGCTGTCTGATTTTAGTGGCTCAACTTTGTGAGATTCAGTCATGGCATTGTGCTGCAGTTAGGTGCCCTCATTCTCACAGATAATAGTATTCCATGTTTATCGTTTCCATTCTACCACTGATGGGTATTGGTGGTTTTAATTTCTGTCAACAATAACCAGTGATGCTATGCAATGCAGGAGATAGCTGAGGGTTAACTCAGGAACTCTGAGATTGCTTTTCGGCCTTTTGGCTAAGATCAAGTGTAGAAACTTTGAGAAAAGCAAATTCCAAAACTCTTGGCAGGTGTTTTCATAGCCAACACTAAGGACCCCTAACCCTTAAAAATGCAATTTTCACATTTGGAGTCCCAAGTTCCAGCTGCAGTCCTAGCTTTGATTCCTGGTGCACTCGTGCTCCCATAAGAAGTGAACTTTCTTTCCTGTAACAAATTTCTCTTGTTATTATTTGTGTGAGCCTCATTCAATTCATTGTCAGGCTGAAAAGAACCTGTACTTGGTCCTCACCTCCCTACTCTCCACTCCCAGAGCACTAGTAATTTTTTTCGTAATATTTATTTATTTTCATTGCAAAATCAGAAATACAGAGAGGAGGAGAGACAAAAAGGAAGATCTTCCATCCCGTTGATTGACTCCCCAAGTGGCCGCAACAGCCAGAGCTCACCCCATCCAAAGCCAGGAGCCTGAGATTCTTTCAGGTCTCCCACTTGGGTGCAGGGTCTCAAGGCTTTGGGCCGTCCTCGACTGCTTTCCCAGGCCACAAGCAGGGAGCTAAATGGGAAGCGGGTCTGCTGGGATTAGAACCAGCACCCATATGGGATCCTGGCGCATGCATCCTTAGCTGCTAGGCTATTGTGCTGGGTCTAGCACTAGTGGTTTTTGGCAAATACATGTTCACACGTGTTTCACCTGTAATCAAGATAACTATTTGTTCAAAGCATTCTCTAACATGTTCTTATTTTAAAATCAATATTCTGCTCTTACAAGAGCTTTGTGAAAATACAATTACTTTGATTCACTAGGAATGGAACCTATTCCAAAGGTCTGGGATACTACAGAAAGATTGAAAAGGAATCCATTTCTGCATCTGTCATCAACTTTTTATGTCATCTTGGGTTGCTTGGCCTGTACTTCTCACGGACAGCTGTTAGTCCAGGGGAAAATCTATTTATCAGAACAACACATACTATTATAAAAGACAGAAACACTTATCAGGAAAACAAAAACAACTGGGAACCAATCTGAAGGGATGTGCAAGCCATCCTCACAGTTTACACATGTGTGCCTATAGTTTGCTCCCCCAGTTCAACTCAACTAGGTAAATAACATTACCTAGGGCTTACTTTTGGGATTTACCTACGTGGCTATCATCATAAAAAGCTAATTGTTTCAGAATTTCACATCACAAACAGAGGTGGCGTTACTGGAAATGTTCAATCTCAAAAGAATGTAAATGCAAGAACATTCTAAATTCATTTCAATCATTTCATTCTCACCCTGGAATGAGTTACAACTTGAGGTAAAATCATATAAAAAATCATATATAAAATCATACATGAATGGCAACTGATAAATATTCCTGTGATCTATGTTATCTGAGATCCAAGAATTCATGGTTCTAATGTAAAGCTTAAAGGAAGGAGAAGCAAAATTGTGTAAACAGTATGACAATTTTGTGAAAATGAGCATTCACTGGGCCCAGCACTACAGCCTAGTGGCTAAAGTCCTTGCCTTGCATGCGCCAGGATTCCATATGGGTACCAGTTTATATTGTGGCTGTTCCACTTTCCATCCAGTTCCCTGCTTGTGGCCTGGGAAAAAAGTAGAGAATGGACCCTGCACCCACGTGGGATACCTGGAAGAGGCTTCTGGCTTCAGATTGCTCAGCCCTGGCCATTGTGGCCAGTGGGGGAGTGAACCAATGGATGGAGATCTTTCTGTTTCCTTTTTGTAAATCTGACTTTCTAGTTAGAATAAATAAATCTTTTAAAAAAAAGTGGGGGGGGGGGGACAAGAAAAAGCATTTGTTGTAAAAGAAAAAAAACAGAAAATACATAAACTAAGATATACCCTTTGGTGTAGTGGAATTAAAAATAATTATTTCTCTATACAAAAAGAAAATTTAAGCACTAATCATTTGTAAACTCAAACAAATAACAACAACAAAAAAATCCAGAACTGAATAATTATGGTATATAAAGTACTCTTCAACATTGATACTACGAGGAAGTATATTTTAAAATGATTTTATTGGGCCTGGTGCAGTAACCTAGTGGCTAAAGTCTTTGCCTTGCATGCACCAGGATCCCATAGGGACACCAGTTCATGTTCCGGGTACTCCACTTCCCATCCAGCTCCCTGCTTGTGGCCTGAGAACAGCTCAAAGCCTTGGGACCCTGCCCCTGTGGGAGACCCAGAAGAAGCTCCTGCTTCCTGGATTCAGATTGACTCAGCTCTGGCCATTGTGGCCACGTGGGGAATGAACTATTTCTCCCTGTCTTGCTTTCTCTCTGTAAATCGGTCTTTTCAATAAAGATAAATAAATCTTTAAAAAATCATATTAAGGGACCTTACAAAGATAATGGCTTAGATTTTTCTAAAATGTACAGATAATTATTAAGCTTCAGATATAAAAGTACAGGCAAATTCATAAATTACCCACCTCATAGCAGTACTGTTGAACTTTATGCAATACTTTGTTTAAGTCCTTATTCAGCTGTTCAAGTTCTAAAACAATTGTTGCATATCTCCGCTGAAATTCAATGCCAATGGGCATGGAATATGATTTCTGAGAAGAAAAAATAATCAGATCTTGAAAATTCTTATTTAACCAATGTAATTTCAATTATATAAAAGTCAAATTGATGTACCTAAAACAAATTAAGTTTATTAAATTTGTCTATAAATATAACAGTTCTTGTAATAATATTTCTATTTTGCAGAATACTTTTTAAAATATATATATGTATTTTGAAAAGGCAGATTTATACAGAAGGAGAGAGAGAAAAAAGTCTTGTATCCACTGGTTCACTCTCCAAATGGCTGTAATAGCTGGAACTGAGCCCATCAGAAGCCAGGATCCAGGAACTTTTTCTGGGTCTCCCATCTGGGTGTAGGGTCCGAGGCTTTGGCTTATCCTCCACTGCTTTCCCACGCTATAAGCAGGGAGCTGGATGGGAAGTAGAGCAGCCAGGATTTGAACCGGTACCCACATGGGATCCTGGTGCTTTTTTTTTTTTAAGATTTAATTATTTATTGGAAAGTCAGATATACAGACAGGAGGAGAGACAGAGAGTAAAATCTTCCTTCCAATGATTCAATCCCTAAGTGAGCACAACGGCCGATGCTATGCCAATCCAAAGCAAGGAGCCAGAAACTTCTTCCAGGCCTCCCACGTGGGTGCAGGGTCCCAAAGCTTTGGGCCGTCCTCGACTGCTTTCCCAGGCCACAAGCAGGGAGCTGGACGCAAAGTGGAGCTGCCAGGATTAGAACTGGAGCCAATATGGGATCCCAGGGCGTTTAAGGCGAGGACTTTAGCTGCTAGGCCATGCTGCCGGGCCTGGGATCCTGGTGCATTGTAAGGAGATTATCAGACAACTGAGCCATCACGCTGCTTCTGACCTTATTTTAGGAGTGTCATTTTATTTGCCAGATATTATAAAATATATATGTATTTATTTATTTGAAAGATGCAGACAGACAGACAGTCAGAGATTATATGCCATCTTTTGATTCACTCCCTAAATGACTGCAACAAGGCTGGGCAAGGCCAAAACCAGGATCTAGGAACTTCATCTGGGCCTCCCACATGCATGGCAGGGCCAGACACTTAGGTCATCTTCACTACTTTCCAAAGCATATTGGATGGAAAGCACAGCAGCTAAAATTCAAATGAGCTCTTTATACTGGATTAATTTATTGCACCAAAATGTAGTCCCTGCCTTTTATTTTTTCTTAATTATGTCTTTTGGTGACACATTCTTAACTTTTTAAATTAGTGTTTATTGGGATCAGCACTGTGTTGTCATCAAACTAAACTGCTGCCTAGAATGCTGGCATCCTATGAGCAATAAGTTCAGGGTCCAGTTGTTCCACTTCCCATCGAGCTTCTTGTTAATACACCAGGGAAAGCACTGGAGGATGGTCCAAGTGCCTGGGCCTCTGCCATCAGCGTGGGAGACCTGGATGATGCAGCTCCTGACTCCTGGAGTCAGCCCTACCAGCATGTGGTAGCTTGATATGTCCCTCTCCCCTGACTGCCTGTGTAACTTTTCTGTTCCAACAAATGTATCAATGTTAAAAACAAAGTAATAAAATGTACACACACACACAGCTCTTTCTGCTTCTACATTTCCTAAATACAACAGCCACGACTGGTCCACACGCATGAAACCCAATGTGAGTTGTCCCTCATGGGTGGCAGGGATTGAAATACCTGAGCCATTATTTGCTTCTCCCCTGTAGTATGTATTAGCAGAAAGCTGGATTACAAATTGAGTAGCTGGGACTCAACCAGGCATTGTGTGGATTACAGGTGTCTTACAACACTGATTTAATTGTTACACCACATATCTATTTACAAAGTTCTTAATTTTTAATATAGCTTAATTTAACAATGTTTTGGTACTGCTGTCAAAATTCCTAAGTGTAATCTCCTACATTCTCCTCTGTTTAAGTTTTATAGTTTTGCATCTTCCCTTTAGATTTGAAACATTATCACTCTGCCTATGGTATGAAGCAAGGATTGAGTTTCTCACCCATACTGATGATTCTACCATGATTTCAAAGATCTTTCTTTTCCCAATGCTCTGTAGAATCACTTTGTCATAGATAAAGTGTCCACATTTATACAGGCCTCTTTTCTGGGCTCTTTATATTCTGTTCCACAGCCTACTCATTTATCTTTTTTTTTTTTAATAATTATTTTTATTGCAAAGTCAGATATACAGAGAGAAGGAGAGACAAAGAAGATCTTCCATCTGCTGATTCACTCTACAAGTGGCCAAAATGGCTGGAGCTGAGTCAATCTGAAGCCAGGAGCCCGGAGCTTCTTTTGGGTCTCCCACGTGGGTGCGGGGTCTCAAGGCTTTGGGCTGTCCTCGACTGCTTTTCCAGGCTACAAGCAGAGAGCTGGATGGGAAACGGGTCCACCGGAATTAGATCCTATGCTTATATGAGATCCAGGCACGTGCAAGGTGAGGATGCCAGTCACTAGGCTACTGTGCCAGGCCCTGTTCATCTATCTTGTGCCAGTGTTAGAGTCCTTATTTAGCCCATCTTTATAATGTCTTGATAGTCAAGAGAATAAGTCACTGTACCTTGTTCTTCCTCAAGAATATCTTAGAGCGAACAGTGTGATGGCTCATTTGGTTAATCCTCTGCCTGCAAGTGCCAGAATCCCATATGGGTACGATTTCATGTCCCAGCTGCTCCACTTCCCATCTAGCTCCCTGCTTATGGCTGTGTAAGTAGTGGAGTATGGCCCAGTTGGGACCCAGCACTTCCATGGGGGACTGGAGAAAGTTCTTGGCTTCTGGCTTTAGATCAGCTCAGCTCTGGCTGTTTCAACCTTTTGGGAAGTGAAGTTAATGGATAGAAGATCATTCTGTATCTGTCTCTCTTACCAACTAAAGAATGGGTAAATGATTTGTAGCCCGCAGATACACAGCACTGAGTTGGTGCTGTGGCTTAGCAAAATAAAAGGCTACAGCTTGCAATATTGGTACCCCATATCACAGCAGAGACTGCAATGTTGACTGTTTCACTTCTGATCTAGTTTCCTGCTAATTTGCTTGAGAAAGCAGCAGATATGGTCAAAGTACTTGGGTCCCTGCCACTCTCATGAAGTTCCAAGCTCCTGGGTACCGCCTGGCTTAGCCCCAGCCATTACAGCCGTTTGGGGAGTGAAGTAGCAGACAGATGTTTCTTTATGTCTCTTCCTATTTCTGTTAATTTGTCTCAAATGAATAATTTTTTACATGATTTATTTATTTGAAAGGTAGAGCTAGGGGCCCACCGTGGCCTAGCAGCTAAAGCCTTTGCCTTGAATGCACCGGGATCCCATATAGGCACTGGTTCTAACCCTGGCAGCTCCACTTCCCATCCAGCTCCCTGTCTGTGGCCTGAGAAAGCAGTCAAGGACAGTCCAAAGCCTTGGGGACCTGCACCCACATGGGAGACCTGGAGGAGATTCCTGGTTCCTAGCTTTGGATTGGCATAGCATTGGCTGTTGTGGTCACTTGGGGAGTGAATCATCAAATGGAAGATCTTCCTCTCTGTCTCTCCTTTCTATATATCTGACTTTGTAATATAAATAAATAAATCTTTTAAAAAAAAATGAAAGGTAGGGCCTGGTGGCGTGGCCTAGTAGCTCGAGTCCTCACCTTGAACACGCTGGGATCCCATATGGGCGCCAGTTCTAATCCTGGCAGCCCCACTTTGCGTCCAGCTCCCTGCTTGTGGCCTGGGAAAGCAGTTGAGGACAGCCCAAAGTTTTGGGACCCTCCACCCACATGGACCCTGAACCATCGAATAGAAGATCTTCCTCTCCATCTCTCCTCCACTCTGTATATTTTCCTTCCAATAAAAATAAATATATTTTTAAAAAGAAAAAAGATTTATTCACTTTTATAGAAAAGGCAGCTTTCTTCCTTCCTTCCTTCCTTCCTTCCTTCCTTCCTTCCTTCCTTCCTTCCTTCCTTCCTTCCTTCCTTCCTTCCTTCCTTCCTTCCTTCCTTCCTTCCTTCCTTTCTTTCTTTCTTTCTTTCTTTCTTTCTTTCTTTCTTTCTTTTTTGAAAGCAGATTTTTACAGAAAGAAAGGACACAGAAAAACCCTCCATCTCCTGGATCACTCCCCAGGTGGCCACAGAAGCTGGGACAGAGCCAATTTGAGGGTGCTGGGTCCCAAGGCTTTGGGCCTTCCTATACCACTTGTCTAGGCCACAGGCAGGGAGCTGGATGGAAAATGGAGGAGTCAGGCCAGAAACCAGCACTCATATAGAATGTCAGTGCTTGCGGGCTGAGGATTACCCAACGTAGCTATTGTGCCAGCCGCTCACATGTACTATTCATTTGTAAGTAAATGCTCTGCATGGGTATTTTACAAATCTGAGTTTGCAGGTCCGTTGTGGTAGTCTAGTAGCTAAAATCCTTGTCTTGAACACATCAAGATCCCATATGGGTGCCAGTTTGTGTCCTGGTTGCTCCACTTCCCTTCCAGCTCCCTACTAATGGTGTGGGAGGGCAGTGGAGGATGGCCCAAATCCTTGGGGTCTTGTATCTACATGGGAGACCTGGAAGAAGCTCCTGGCTTTGGATTAACTCAGTTTGGCTGTAGCAGCCATTTGGGGAGTGAGCCAGCTGACAGAAGATCTTTCTGTCTTTCCTTTTCTCTTTATACCTGACTTTCCAATAAAAAAATAAGTATTAAAAAAAATATTCTGGGTTTCCCACGTAGGGATAGGGATCCAAGTGACAACAAGTGCTGCTGTGACGGGAACCCAAGAACTCTGACACAGCCTGCAGGTATCTCAAGTGGTATCTAAATTACCTTGCCAAGTGTTCTCCCTACATATATGTCATTTCAATACATTTAAAATATGCTTAAATAATCTCAAATAGGAAAGGTGTGTTGAAATTAGTAAGTTAAGACAAATGTTTCTTGACTTTAATAAACTATGTGTTTCAGGACTGGTTTTGTGGCACAGGGGATTATACCACTGCTTTCAATGCTTGTATCCCTTGTGGGTGTTGGAATGAGATCTGGCTGTTTCAATTCTGATCCAGAAACCTAATACTAAAGCATCTGGGAAAGCAGCAGAAGATAGCACAAGGGCTTGGGCCCCTGCACCCATGTGCTCCTAGCTTCAGCCTGGCATAGTTCTGACCACTGTGGACATTTGGGAAATGAACCAATGAATGGATGCTCTCTTTCTTGCTCTCTTCCTCATCTCTCTGTAGCTTGGCCTTCCAACACACACACACACACACACACACACACACACACACACTCACTCACACACTTTAGCTTGAGCCTTATATTGTAGTAACTAGATAAAAAACTTGTCAGAAAGGGGGAGGGGGAAGGGAGAGTCCTGCACCAACTAAATTGTATTTAAAAAACAAAACAAAACAAACAAAAAAAGATTTTAAAATTGTCAGAAATATAATTAAGACACCTGTCATTGTTTTATCATAAAAATGAACACTGTGGGGATGTGTCTGAGTGTTTGCCACAATGGTTAAACTGCCACTTGAGATGTCTACATCCATATTAAAATTCTGATTCAAGTCCCAGCTCAGCTTCTAATCCAGCTTCCTACTAATAATGCATACCTTGGCAGACTGCAGGTGTCAGCCCAAGAACTTGGGTCACTCCCACACTTGTTAGAGAACTGGACTGAGTTCCAGACTTCTGATTTGATCTGGCCCAGCCCCGACTATTGAGGGCATCTGGGGAATGAAGCAGTGGAGGGAGTATCTAATCTCTGTTTATTTGTCAGAGTTGGAGCTAGGTGGAAACAGGGTAGACAGACATTTTTGTTAATTGGTGTTAAGAACACTTAGGATTAAAAATACTAACGCATGGAGCAATGTGCAGTGTCATACAGGACTAAACCACTACTTATGATTTCAGCATCCCATGTAAGACTGCTGGTTTGAGTCCTAACTGTTTGGTTTCCAGTTCAGCTCCTTGTTGATGTGTCTGGGAAAGCAGCAGCAGATGACCCAAGTGCACGGATCCCTATTACCAATGCAGGAAACCCAAATGGAGTTCCTTTTTTTTTTTTTTAAAGTTTTGTTTTATTTTCAATTTTCTTTGTAAGGCACAAAGAGAGAGAGAGAGAGAGAGAGAGACTAAGACTTCCTCTGCTGGTTCATTCCCCAAATGGCTGCAATGCCCAGGGCTGGGCCATGCTGAAGCAAGAATCCTCACATATGTGCTATTAGGAAAAAATGGAGATTGTAACAAAGCAAGAGGAAGAGATTGGAAGAAGAGGGAGGCACAACTCCTACATAGAGGATGTTCAGGGTGAGGGAAGAAGCTGATTCCTTACTCGAGACACCAAATGTTAGAACAGAGATACATAATACAAAAAAAAATGGAGAGTGAACTCACAGCCAAATTGTATTAGAGATTAATAATGGAAACTTACATACATTTTGATTTACTTTTTTTGAAATACTCTTTGTAATCTAGTCAGCATAACTTCCTTAATCAGAGGAAGCAATTCAATGGATTATATGTTCATGCAAACGGATGAAGAATCTAACACACCCAGTAATCCTATTTAGCTATACAATCAACACTACATTGTTAATTTACTTAGCATGTAGACAGTATAACAAGAGCTACTGATGTTGAATGAGAATTTGAAAATAATATTTATCTCAAGATTTTCTTTCATATTTTGAAATCATAAGGTATAGAAGAACACACTATTTAAAAATATTTATTTAAGCAAATAAAAAATTCTTACCAATTTTTCTGCTTCTGTGTTCATTTCTCTTAATTTCTTGATATGCTCCTTTTTAATCATAAGAATTTTTGATAATTTAGTCTAGAAAGAAAAAAAATTAGAATAGAGGCATTTAGGCTTACCAGACACTAGATTTCCAAATTTTCATTTGGATATTTTAACAGAAGTGTCTCAATATAAGTGCAAAGTATTTTAATACTTTAAAATTCATTATAACTTACATATGTTCAAAGAACTAAGATGTCAACTGAATAAGTATATACTGCCTCAAAATAGACTATCGTTTGTCTTAGTACAACTAAAATTGGAAAATGGGAAAAACTGTAGGCCAATATGCATAACTAAAAAGAACTGAAGTACTAATATTAAAATATATAAATTTACAGTGATTTATTTAAAAGGCAGAGTTATACACACAAAGACAGCAAGGAAGAGAGAGACACATATCAATTTTCCATCTGCTGGTTACTCCCCAACTGGCCATAAGAGCCAGGGCTAGGTCAGATCCAAACCAGGAAACTAAAACTCCATTCAGTCTCATACATGAGAGGCAGGAGCCCAAGTGCTTGGCCCATCTTCTGCTTTCCAGGCATATTAGCAGAGATCTGGACTGCAAGTACAGCAGCTGGTACCCAAACTACGGCTCAGATAGGATGCTGGCATTACAAACAGCAACCAAACCACTGTGCTGACCCCTATATGATTTCTTCTTTTTATTATTATTTTTTAAAGATTTATTTATTTTATTGGAAACGCAGATGTACAGAGAGGAAGAGAGACAGAGAGGAATATCTTCCGTTTGATGATCCACTCCCCAAGTGGCTGCTACGGCTGGTGCTGTGCCAATCCCAAGCCAGGAACCTGGAACTTCCTTCCAGGTCTCCCACGAGGGTGCAGGGTCCCAAGGCTTTGGGCCATCATCGACTGCTTTCCCAGGCCACAAGCAGGAAGCTGAATGGGAAGTGGGGCTGCTGGGATCAGAACCGGCACCCATATGGGATCCCAACGTGTTCAAGCCGAGGACCCTAACCTTTATGCTATCGTGCCGGGCCTGATTTCTTATTTTTCAAATCAGCCAAACTAAAGCTCACCAAAAAGACATCTTTTTTTTTTTTTTTTTGCTTATTTTCAAAGTGTTTTGGAATTGCAGATATCCTAAAACACATACAATGATAAAAGAATGTTAAATAGAAATGATCATAGGAGTTGGCATTACGACATGAGGCCAAAATACTGTCCATGATGCCGGCTTTACATATGGGAATCCAGTTTATGTCCTAGCTGCTCCACTTCCAATCTAGCTTCTGCTACTGGCCTGAGAAAGCACTGCAAGTTAGCACAAGTGCCTGGGTCCCTGCCATCCCTCAGGAGACACCAAAGGAGCTCTTTGCTTCCGCCTTCTGCCTGGCCCAGCCCCTAGCCATTGCAGCCACTGAGGAAGTGAATCAGGGGATGAAACATCTATTTCTCTCCATGTCTGCCTTTCACATAAAATAAAATCTAAAGAAAATTTATCACATGAAAAATTTTATTTGTACTAAGACAAACCATAGTCTAGTTTCTAAACAAACAGCAAGATATTCAGAGCAATTCTTACCACTTGGATAAGGAATTCTACTGGAAAACCACCTAATGTTTCAGTGTCAGAACCAGATATTTTACTTCTCCAAGGTGATTGGCCTAATAAAGGATCACTATCCTATGGAGATAAAAGGGAAAGGAATCATTTAGTGACAGATTGTTCAAAAGAAAGAATCCTATTTTTAGGTAAAACAAAAATCCTATTATAATTATGTTCAGATTCAGTAAGAAGAAAAACACTTGACAACTTAAGATATATAGAGCCCTCTTTGAGTCATAATAGATGTGTACTTTACAACAACACTGTCCATGTTCATAAAAATTAAATTATTGATCGCATTTAAAAAAAAATTACTTACTGTAATTGGTGACTGGAGGGGTGGAGTATAATGCAACCGTGGTGGAGTCATAAGGAACCGAGAAGGCCGCTGTTTTTGTCCAAAGGCAGCAATTGGCATTGTCTCATGAGGTTCATTACTCTTTGAGAAAACAGAAATCCACACAAAAAGAAATTTACCAATTGTTCAAGCTTTAGAAACACTGTATTTCATAGGCTACTGTGATTGTGCAATTAGCTAATTCTCCACCTTCAAGCACCAGAATTCCAAATGGGCACCAGTTCATGTCCCAGTTACTCCACTTCCATCCAGATCCTTGCTCATGGCCTAGGAAAGCAGAGAAGGACAATCCAATGCTTTGGAACCCTGCACACATGGGAGACTTGGAGAAGGCTCCTGGCTCTGGACAGGATTAGCACCAGCTGTTGTGGCCAGCTGGGGCATGAACCAGTGAGTGGGAGATCTTTTTCTGTCTTTCCTTTTCTTTGTAAATCTGTTTTTCCAATAAAAATAGAAAAATTTTTAAAAATACTGTATTTCAGCTAGAGATATATAGACATATACTGTAACTGATGATTGTATTAAAGTTTATTTTGTGGTTTAGTATCTCTACGATGCAGTATAATTGTACAAAGACCAAGGGCTACAGCTTAAAGCGGAATATGCAAATACTACTTTCCTTCTAAAAGACTGAGCATGCAAAAGAGAAGAATCTAGGGAAGAAAAATAACAAAGGATCAAAAGAATTTCAAGAATCAAAGAATAATACTAGAGTAGTCTATGATGACAACCTCTGGTTTTTTGCATTTATGCCATCTAATAAATTCTGCCATAATTAAAGCTAACTCTAACTTTATCCCCACCAAAATTTGAGAAATTACAACAACAAAGCAGAAAAGCAATTTCCAAAAAGAGGACATTTGAAGATTGCATCTTTCAAGTAAAAATTTACAAGGGGTCATTCTGCTCTAGACATAGTCCAAATCCTCTTTCTTCCCTGTTGCCAAAAGGCTGAGAAATGATAAGACAGCTTTTAAAAAGCACCTGTCAGAAAAGAAACTATCTTCTGTTCTATTTTTGCACAAAGGAGACAGAATTTTTGTTTTAATTAAAAGGTCACAATCAAGTCACAAATAACAAAAGAGCCCAAAGTGAAGAATTTAATTTTCAAAATGCTTTGAGGAAAACTATTAGAAAACACTAATTCATTTTTTAAAAGCAATTATTCATTTTTCTTATTTGAAAGGCAGATTTACAGAAAGGTGGAAAGACCTCCCAATTGGCTGCAATGGCCAGATCTAGGCCAATCCAAAGCCATGAGCCAGAAGCTTCTGGGTCTCCCACATGGGTGGTAGTGTCCCAAGGCTTTGGGCGATCCTCCACTGCTTTCCAGGGCCACAAGTAAGGAGCTGGATGGAAAGCAGAGAAGTTGGGACATGCACTGGTACCCATATGGATTCCTGGTACTTGGGAGGGAGGATTAGCTAACTGAGCAATTGCACTGCGCCCTAGAAGTGGAGAAGCCAGGATATGAACTGGCACCCTTATAAAGATGCCAATGTTACAGGCTGTGGGCTTAAATCACTGTACACAGTGGTTTAATGTGACCCCTAATTATTCATTTTAAAACTTTATTAGATTGCATATTTACATTAGTTTAAAAATTATTTAGGCGCTGCAACAGTGATATAACACTAATCCTCTGTCTTTGGCACTGGTAACCCATATGGGCATCGTTTTCTTTTCTTATTTTTTTTGGGGGGGGCATAATTTTCTATCCCAGCTGTCCCACTTCCCATCCAGCTCCCTGCTTATGACCTGTGAAGTTGCAGAGGATTACCCAAGTCCTTGGGACATTGCACCCATGTAAGTGGTCCTAAACATGCTTATGTCTTCTGACTCCTGGCTTTAGCTCACCTCAAGCCACTGTGACTACTGTGTGTGACCCAATCGATGGAAGAACTTTCTCTCTGTTTCTCCTTCTCTCTCTAAATTTTTCTATCAAATAAAAATAAATGAAGTAAAAAAAATTATTTGGGGGTGAGTCACATGGTTCAGTCGCTAAATCCTCACTTTAAAGCACAGGAATCCCATATGGGCACCAGTTAGTGTCCTGGCTGCTTCATTTCTCATCCAGCTCCCTGCTTGTGGCCTGGGAAAGCAGTTGAGCATGGTCCAAACGAACCCTGCAACCACATGGGAGACCTGGAGAAAGCTCTTGGCTCTAGGCTTTGTATAATGTTGGCTCTGGCTAGTGCAGCCACATGGGCAGTGAACCAGCAGATGGAAGATCTTTCTGACTCTCCTTCTGTCTGTAGATCTGTCTTTCCAATAAAAACAAATAAATCTTTTTAAAAAATATTTAATTGTTTTTATTACAAAGTCATATATTTACAGAGGAGGAGAGACAGAGAGGAAGATCTTCCATCCGATGATTCACTCCCCAAGTGACCACAACGGCCAGTGTTGTGCTGATCCGGAGCCAGGAGCCAGGAACTTCTTCTGGGTCTCCCACACGGGTGCAGGGTCCCAAAGCTTTGGGCTGTCCTTGACTGCCCTCCCAGGACACAAACAGGGAGCTGGATGGGATGTGGAGCTGCCAGGATTAGAACCAGCACCCATATGGGATTCTGGCAGGTTCAGGGTGAAGACTTTAGCCACAGGGCCACGCCTCCAGGCCCATAAATATTGAAAGAAAAAAAAACATTCAGTGATATTAAAAAATTATTTGGAGCTGGTAATGTGGTGTAATGCCAATATCCCTCCCATATGAGCACTTGTTCAATTCCTGGCTCTCATCCAGCTTCCTTCTAATGTGCCTGGGAAAGCAGAAGATGACTCAAGTACTTGGGCCCCCATATTGACATGGGAGATCCTAAGGAGCTCCTGGTTCTGTTTGGCTAGTTCCGGTTGCTATGGCCGTGTAGGGTATGAACCACATGGAAGACCTCTCTGTCTCTAATTATGCTTTTCAGATAGATAAATGAAAAAATAATAAAAATAATAATAATAAAAATAAAAAATTTAAAGGCCCCACTGCGCCGGGCCCTTAAAAATTATTTTATTAAAGGTGAATAATTTCCATGTTGTGGCTAAATAAAGAATGAATGTAGGGCCTGGCGCAGTGGCGCAAGTAGTTAAGGTCCTCACCTTGCACGCCCGGGATCCCATATGGGCGCCGGTTCTATCCCGGCAGCCCTGCTTCCCTTACAGCTCCCTGCCTGTGGCCTGGGAGAGCAGTCAAGGATGGCCCAAGGCTTTGAGACCCTGCACCCGCGCGGGAGACCCGGAAGAGTCTCCTGGCTTCGGATTGGCATAGTATCGGCCCGTTGCACTCACTTGGGGAGTGAATCATCGGACGGAAGATCTTCCTCTCTGTCTCTCCTCTCTCTGTATATCCGCCTTTCCAATAAAAAAATAATAAAAATAAATCTTTAAAAAAAAAAAAAAGAATGAATGTAAAATGATGATCCAGTAATGAATGAAATAGAACATATCAGAAATTTTTAAATAATCTGAATTCCACTGTTAGCCTGACAGAAAACAGCTCTATAACCCTGAATAAATTACTTAATGTACTCATATCTCAGGTTCAGTATACAAAAAGTGAAGTAGTTAACATTCAAGTTGTATAAGTGTAAAGGAAAACAGGAACAAGTGTAAGATATTTTTTGAAAAATTTTAAAGCCTGTTTATTTGAAATGCAGAGTCACATGCACATACAAATATGGAAAGTGAGAGATTCTCCATCTATTGTTTTATTCCCCAAATGTCTATTTACAGCTAGGGTTGGGCCAGGAGCCTAGGATTCCATCCAGGCCTCCCAATGGGTGTTATGGGGCCAAGTACTTGAAACATCATGTGCTGTGTCCACAGATGCACTAGCAGAAAGCTGTACTAGAAACGGAAGAGACAGAATCAAACTAGCATTTCTTGAGGATGTCTCAAGAAGTGGCTCAGCACTCTGTGTTAAAGCACCTACTGATATCCTAATTTTAAAAGCACTTTTAGGAGGACTATATTTTAACCCAACAACTGAAATAAAAACAGTGTGCAACTTCTTATTGAAGACTGGCCAGGAGGAATCAGTTCTGCTACTTTAAAATACTACTGAGAGAGAGTAAGGTACAATAGAGGGATTCTCATCTCTGGCATATGGAAGACTTCAGTACAGTTCTGCTCCAGGGATTTAGTACAGAACTGGGAACCCCTAAACAGTTCTTCCCTCTGTCAGTTCAAGTCCTGATCCTATCATCAAACACAACTTACAAGAAATCTCTAACAATTTAATAGCTATAAAACATAAATATAAATATAATAGAACACAGTACTTACAAGAACTTCATAGTCAGGGATGGTGTGGGTTCCAAGGCCTGCCCTATCAAAGGTTACTCTATATGTAGCATTACAAGAATCCACAGCATCTATTTGTCCAGTGAACAAACCATCATGAACACCTCGTAATCGTGCTGAGAAAAGAAACAGGCATGATCCTTGAGATATACAAAGAGTTGTCAAATAGAAAACCGTCCTAAGTAACTTACTTTTATTTAAATAACAGAAACATTTTTTGAAAGATTTATTTATTTGATGGGCCTGGTCTGGTGGTTCAGTGGCTAAATCCTTGCCTCTATGTGCCAGGATCCCATATGGGTTCCAGTTTGTGTCCCAGCTGCTCCACCTCCCATCCAGCTTCCTGCTTGTAGCCTGGGAAAGCAGCAGAGGATGGTTCAAAGTCTTAGCAACCTGCACCCAAATGGGATATCCAGAAGAAGCTCCTGGCTTCAGACTGGCTCAGCTCCAGCTGTTGGGGCCACATCTTTCTTTTTTCTATTTTTTCTTTTTTTCTGTCTGTTTAAATAAAGATTTATTATTTATTTTATTGGAAAGTCAGATCTTACAGAGAAGGAAAGCCATTTGGGGAATAAAAGAGCAGATGGAAGATCTCTCCGTCTCCCTCTCTAACTCTGCCTTTCAAATAAATATTAAACAAACAAAAGACATCAATATCCTGTATCAAAGTTCCTAGGATTGATTATCAGGTCTGGATTCTTACTGCTTCCTGCCTATGCAGATGCATGGAGACAGCAGGAATGACTCAAAGAAACTGAGTTCCTACTTTGGCCCTGGTTATGCGTTGAGTACTAAGCCCTGGCCATTTGAGGGGATCTGGGAAATGAACCAGGTAATGGGAGCTCTCCTGGTCTCTCAAAAAAGACGGTCAAAAACAGCCATTCTGTAACACTGAAAATGAATCACTGTAACAAATAATTGTAAAATGCTTATTGCTGAGAAAAATAGTTGAGGTCTCAGCTTAGAACAGACAAAATCTTGTTACATGAGGTTATTCATATTACCACCATTACCATTAACTTTGTTAGCAAAAATGGGTTTTATTACAGAAGGACTGGTCATGAAAACGTGCAGTGTTGTTGTTATAAGGAAGACTTGATGAGGGTCAGTGGGCAAAAATCTGTGACAGTTAGTTAATAGCTAGTTAAAGTAGTAAACTTGTCCTCAGCACCGTGGTCTAGTTGCTAAAGTCCTCACCCTGAACATGCTGGGATCCCACATGGGAGCTGGTTCTAATCCCAGCTGTCCCACTTCCCATTCAGCTCCATGCTTATGGCCTGGGAAAGCAGTTGAGAATGGCCCAGAGCATTGGGACCCTGCACCCACAAGGGAGACCTTGAGGAGGGCTCCTGGTTCCTGGCTTCAGATTGGCTCAGCTCCGAGATTTGTGGCTACTTGGGGAATGAAACAGCAGATGGAGGATCTCTCTTTCTGTTTCTCCTCTCTATAAATCAGACTTTCCAATAAAAAGTAAATAAATATTAAAAGGAAGAAAAAGAATACTTTTGCTTTCTAAAGTTAGTTTCATTATGTTAGCTGAAAGTTACAAGTCAAAATAATAAACTTTTCTTCACCTACCTGTAACTTTGGTTCCAATAACCAGAGGCAAAGGAATTTCATCTGGGAGATCTTTGAATTGTGAAACATCTGCAACATTTCTTTGTTGTAATAGCCTTATTTTCTCCCGTTTTTGCTTTAAAGCTGACCTTTCTTCCTCGAAAAATGCAGAAGAACACCTAAAATTACAAAAGTCATAAAACCATTAACTGTCCTATACAAAAATTTTAAATTTGTCCATTTCGCTGTTCTTTTTCATTTTCATTCTTTTTAAGTACTGTATTTAATTACGGTTCCTAGAAATTCTCTAGTTTCCAAGCATATTACCTTTAATTTCTTCAAAGGAGGGGGGGAATAGGCCCTCACTAGATACAGCTACATAAACAGGTCCAGTTTATTCATTTCTACAAAACCACAGAATTTGATCACTATCTTAGACAAAATTGTGTGTAGAGCTTAAGGACAAAGTTCAATATTCTAATCAGAAGAACACAATACTTTCTCTGTAACCCAGTGAACACACTAATACAGGAATTAAGAATGAAACTTTTCACTGTGTACATTTCAATCAAATTTCTTAAAAATGCTCTCAAGGGCCCATCTTGCTCCCATTTTCAAATTCTACAATGAACAGAAATATTTATACATGACCTTCATGCCATTTCGACTATCACCTTCAAAGGAATACTGTGAACTCCAGTCATGTAAACTGTCTCAAAAACTAAATAACGAGTAAAAATTATATACACAAAAGGGGGCTGTCACTGTGGCTCAACAGACTATTCCCCAGGAATAAACACTGGCATCCCTTACGGGTGCTGGTTTATATATTAGCTGCTCCATTTTTCCATCCAGCTCCCTGCTTATGGCCTGGGAAATCAAAATAGGATTGCTCGGGCCCAGTGCGGTGGCAAAAGTGGTTAATAGCCTTGCAAGTCCTCGCCTTGCACGCCCGGGATCCCATAAGAGGCTCCTGGCTTTGGATAGGTATAGCATCGGCCGTTGCGCTCACTTGGGGAGTGAATCATCAGACGGAAGATCTTCCTCTCTGTCTCTCCTCTCTGTATATCTGCCTTTCCAATAAAAAAAAGAAAAAATAGGATTGCTCAGGCCCAGCGGCGTAGCCCAGCAGCTAAAGTCATCGCCTTGAACGCCCCAGGATCCCATATGGGTGCTGGTTCTGATCCCGGCAGCTCTACTTCCCATCCAGCTCCCTGCTTGTGGCCTGGGAAAGCAGTTGAGGACGGCCTAAAGCCTTGGGACCCTGCAACCCGTGTGGGATGCCTGGAAGAAGTTCCTGGAACCTGGCTTTGGATTGGCACAGCATCAGCCATTGTGCTCACTTGGGGAATGAATCATCGGACGGAAGATCTTCTTCTCTGTCTCTCCCCCTCTCTGTATATCTGACTTTCCAATAAATAAATCTAAAAAAAAAATTATTAAAAAAAATAGGATTGCTCAAGTTCTTGGGTCCCTTCACCCATGTGAGAGACTCAAAAGAAATTCCGACTTTGGACTGGCTCAGCTTCAACCTGTGGTCATTTGGGAAATGAAGTAGTGGATGGAAGATTTCTCTCTCTTTGTAAAACTGCCTTTCAAATAAAAATAAATAAACCTTTATAAAACAGGTAATCTGAAAAAAAAAATCAAACTGCACATTTAATTATATGATACCTAAGAAAAATACAAAACACTTATAATAAATAACTAACAGGATACACTAAACATATAATCAAGTATTCTAAAAAGTTGTGCTTGGCACTCTAGTCATTTTGAAAATAAAGAAAATAAATGTAGCTATGATACTATCAGCTATAATCAATATCAAACAAAAATATGATTTTTACCTCCGTGGTTTTCCCATAAGTCTTCTTATTTTTCCCCATTCTACTCTTGTTAACTTTCTTGTTTTCAAATTAGGAAAAGATTCCTTTAGACACACACAGAAGTCATTATCACCTTCAAAAAGCGGTCTGTAAAATAGAAATGGTATTTTAATGGTTAATATACAATGTGTATGTTCTTAAAAGACATGTAATTCAAAATATACACTCTAATTTTCCCTATCATACTAACAATAAAATGTCAATTTTTATCTCCACCCCCCCCACACACACACAGCACACACAAAAGCACAAATTCAAAATGTTACAACTGAACTAATCCTTGGCATGTAAAACAATTGATGTGTAAAAGTTACTCAGGAAATCCTGTATGTGCTAGAGATTCTAGGAGACACTGATTTTTGTTCAATCTGCAATTTAAGAATATCCTTTGGGAAGCTATCCTGGCTTTGGCATTACATCTGGTAGATACATAACATTAACAACAAAATATCTTTGTCCCAAAGGTAATACCATCACCAAGGAGCTCTGTTTAGGACCTAGCCAAGTTTAGAACACTGGAGAGCTCTAGAGGGTTACATTAGTTTTATGAATCCCAGATCAAACAAGGACATGTTTAAACTAATGGAAGGCCTGTGGGACAGAACAAAACAGCTCCATCTATTCAGGAGTTTGGAAACCAGGATCCACTCATGACAATGATATAAATACCTAGGGTTCAAATATGAATATTCATGAGTCACAAGCTTTAGAGGAGGCAATCTGTGTGGAAAGTAAAGCAGTGAAGTAAGTACAGATAAACAGCCAGCAAAGGAAGGTCCGTTGATAGGCAAATGACCATGGATTAAAAATCAAAATATTTCTTCAATAAATCCTATGGTTGAATAATTGGATTTCAGCCAAATATTTTATTTTGTTATTTATGAATAAATAACGTGCTCAATACCATCCCTAAAATATTAAGACCACCTTCCTAAAATTCTTGAGTTATCTTTGTAATTCATAATTTCTCTATTACACTAGCACTTAACATTTCAAGCTTCATAAAATAAATCATATTCTTTGCAATTAAAGTTGCTTTGCTTAGTATATCTGTACAGTCTTAGTAAATTATAATATGGAAGTAAGCTGTCCTTTAATTTTTCACAGGAATATCTAACCTTTTCTCTAAAAAGAGTGAGGACAAAAACTATGAGAAATAGAAAAAATGAACTGGAATGAAGGACAGACAGACTCAAGAAAAAGGATCAAATTAGACCTATTGAAAATGTTGTAGCTTATAACATTTAAAAACTTAAATATCTAGTCTAAGCAATATTCGTGATACCAACCATGATACATACTTATCTATATTTGAATAGAACCATTCATATATGCACCATTTATGAGCTTTTGGAAGCTTGAGCAGGTTACGTAAACGAAAACCAATCTTCTGTGATGCTTTCTTATCTGGTGTTGACATTGTTGCTGTAAATTTCTATACAATAAAACAAAGATTAATTACAGTTCCAATAAGTAAAAATGAAAATTTTTAATACTGAGTATATATATATGCAAAGTGATAAATTACATATAATTACAAAGATTCAACATGGGATTTTTTTACATTGCCTAACATTCCTTCTTACTTACTGGAGGAGGCTAAGAGAGTGAGAAAAAGAGAGAAAAAATTCCAATCTGCTGGTTCATTCCCCTATGTCCATAAAGGCTGGGGCCAGAAGCCAAGAACTCAATTCAGGTCACCCTCACAGGTGACAGGGATCCAGCCCCTTGAGCCATCACTACTGTGTTCCAGGGTGTGAAATAATAGGAAGCTGGAATTGCAAGTCAGACAGCAATCAAACCCAGGCACTGCAGTGTGGGACAATGGCACCTTAACTGCTAGCTCAAATATTCACCCCTAAATTATTTCTAACAAAAGCAAAGCCCTTAGTTTCATAAGACATTCTGATAAGAAAGGTGAATTATTTGCCTTTACTATGTTTCACTGCATTAAAAATTGCTGGAAGAAAAGAAGAAATATTATAATATGGAAGTACATTGTCCTTTAATTTTTCACAGAAATATCTAACTTTTTCCCTAAAAAGAGTGAGGACAAAAACATATGAAATATTCCTAGACTGCTGTGAGGAGACAAACACATGTAAAGATTCAAGCAGTCACAAGGCCTAGAAGTTTTCATCTGTGCATTTTATACCAAACCAGAGAATTCAATAAATATGTAACACAGATAACACAATCAGCCAAAAGTATCAGAAAACTCAGAAAATGTTCGTGGGTATGGATATTAAAAATCCTTGGAATCAAGGTGGCTGAATAGGGTAAAGACACATTTAAACAGAGAAATATTAGCCAGTGTGAAGCAGGGAGGGCACATTCCAGGAAATAGAAGAGGATAGAACAACAGCCAGAGGGGTACCTGGACTGACAGACACAGGAAAGCAATGAAAACAATGGTGTGGTGTTGCACTGACTGATACCTCAGTAGCATTCAGCAAATGGTGATCTGAACTCCACTGACAGCTAGAACTCCACCAGCAACAAGGTGGAAAAGGACATTTACCAGGAGCCCTAGAGGTGAACCCAACAAAGAACTGCCCATCCTGCTGGTCTGTTTGATTTGACCAGAAGTAGAGAAAGAGCAGCAGGTCCCAGATGGGTGGTGCAGGAACAGGGTGGATTTCACAGCCCAGTCCTTCTCCTAGAGCCAATTTAAGGGCCATTTTGTTTAAGAAGGCAAGGGCTATGGGGCAGGACTGTGCATGCACAGAGCTGGGAGTGATCTCATTTCTGACTCTGTGAACTGCAACTTACATCTTACAGGTCCAACCCAAGACACATGTGGGTAGCCCTCAGATCTGATAGCCAGCAGATCAAGAACTCTACTAGTGGCACATGAAGTGCCATTTCTTACAGTGTAGCAAAGAATTTAAGACTGCAGGGACAACAGTGAGCTGCACATGTGCTGAGCTCGGTGAGAACTCACAGAACACAGTGCATTGCACTGGTCCCACAGGGAAAATAATTCTGACTATGGTAACATATGGGTCAAAATAGGTCCGTGTGGTCCTCAGACCTCATGGCTAACAGGTTCCAACAAGATCAGCACAACAACAACCTACTTATTTAGGACACCTGGTGTCTCTCCAATCCTGGGACCCACTCAAACTGGAAGTGGGAGAAAGGTTGTACAGACAACAGTGCAGCCTCAGCATAGGATCACAGGAGGTGGAGAGTGGTGAGCCAGGAGCTGGAGCCACTGAGACCATGATGCAAATCTAACATAAGAACTCAGACCTGAAACTTGTTGGAGGGAGTGGCACAAGCGACTGCAAACAAAGAGCTGTGTGCCAGGTCTGGCGGCATGGCCTAGTGGCTAAAGTCCTCACCTTGAACACGCTGGAATCCCATATGGGTGCCAGTTCTAATCCCGGCAGCTCCACTTCCCATCCAGCTCCCTGCTTGTGGCCTGGGAAAGCAGTCAAGGATGGCCTAGAGCATTGGGACCCTGCACCCATGTGGAAGACTTGGAGGAAGCTCCGGGCTCCTGGCTTTGGATGGGCACAGCATCGGCTGTGTGGTCACTTGGGGAGTGAATCCTCAAACAGAAGATATTCCTCTCTGTCTTTTCTCCTCTATGTATATCCGCCCTTCCAATAAAAATAAAATAAATCTTAAAAAAAAAAAAACAGCTGTGTGCCAACTGCAATAAGTAAAATTGAACTGTAGACCTGTGGGTGACACAACTTAGAAACCTGCTCCGAGAAGAAACTAATAAGCCGAAGTAAAATGACCAAGAGCAAAAGAAGAGACAGAGGCAAAATGAATATTACAGAAGATTCCCATGCAAAGGAACAAATCCCTTTGCCAATCTCAGAATTGACTGAGGAAGACATCGACACAATGGGGGATACAGAATTCAAAACACTTGTTTTAAAGCTTCTTACCAACAAGAAGCATTAACACAGGAGTTCAAGGAATTAAGGAATATGTCACACTAAAAATGAATCAAATGAAAGCTGATATACCAGAAATGAAGAATATAGTAGAGCAAATTAAAAGTAGAGTGGAGAGTCTCCAAAATAGAATGAAGGAAGTAGAAGAAAGAATCTCAGAACTGGAAGCTATTTTCTTTCTCTTTGTCTTTTTATTTATTTATTTATTTTTACTGCAAAGTCAGCTATACAGAGAGGAGGAGAGACAGTGAGGAAGATCCAAAGTCCGATGATACACTCCCCAAGTAACCACAATGCAAAGCCAGGAGCCAGGAAATTCCTCCAGGTCTCCCACGTGGGTCAGGGGCATAAGACTTTGGGCCATCCTTGACTGCTTTCCCAGACTATAAGCAGGGTGCTGGATAGCAAGCGGAGCTGCCGGGATTATAATTAGTGTTCATATGGGATCCCGACAAGTTCAAGGTTAGGACCCCAGCCGCTAGGCCACTGTGCTGGGCCCGGAAGACATTTTCTGACACTAGGGGGAAACAAACAAAAAGCAGGAAGCAGAGCTGGATCCGGCCAAAACAACTATTCAAGAATTGAAAGACGGTATGAAAAGGTCAGAACAAGAGTTATGGGAGTGGGCCCGGAGTGGTGGCCTAATAGCCAAAGTCCTCACCTTGAACGTTCCAGAATCCCATATGAGTGCCAGTTCTAATCCCGGCAGCTCCACTTCCCATCCAGCTCCCTGCTTGTGGCCTGGGAAAGCAGTTGAGGACGGCCCAATGCTTTGGGACTCTGCACCCATGTGGGAGACCTGGAAGAGGTTCCTGGTTCCCGGCTTTGGATCGGCACAGTATCGGCCGTTGCGCTCTTTTGGGGAGTGAATAATTGGACGGAAGATCTTCCTCTCTGTATATCTGACTTTGCAATAAAAAAATAAATAAATAAATCTTAAAAAAAAAAAAAAAAGAAGTGAAGCTCTTGGTCCCAGCACATTAGCATAGTGGTTGAGATCACTGCCTTGCTCTTGACAATATCCTGAATGGGCGCTGCTTCCCATCCAGCTCCCTGCCTATGCCTGGGAAGGCACTTGGGGATGGCCCAAGGCCTTGGGACCCTGCACCCAGGTGGGAGAAGCTCCTGGCTCTGAATCGGCTGAGCTCGGGCCGCTGGGCTGCTTGGGGAGTAGGCAAGCAGATGGAAAATCTTTCTGTGTCTCCTCCTCCCTGTCAATCAGCCTTCCCCCCAAAAATAAGTTAATTAAAAATAAATAAATAAATAAAGAGAGAAGTCAGCTCTTGGGGCCAGGGCCAGTGCTATGCCTAAACAGGCTAATCCTCCACTTTCAAGTGCAAAGATCCCATATGGGTGCCAGTTTGTGTCCTAGCTGCTCCACTTCTCATCCAGCTCCCTGCTTATGGCCTGGGAAAGCAGAATATGGCTAAAGTCCTTGGGACCCTGCACCCCAAATGGGAAATGTTTGGTTTTAGATCAACCTAACTCTGGCTATTGTGGCCACTTGTGGAATGAACCAGCAGATGGAAGATCTTTGTCTCTCCTCTCTGTAAATCTTTGTTTCAAATAAAAATAAATAAATTTTTTAAAAAACGTAAGCTCTCTCACACTCTTGCTTTGTCTCACCATGTGACATACCCTTTTCCATTCCATAATCTTTTTTTAAAAAATGTATTCAGAGTCACAGAGAAAAGAGAAGGGACTGTGGAGGAGAAAGGGGAAAAGAGAGAATATGAATCTTCTATCTGCTATTTCACTCTCTAAATGGCTACAAAGGCCTATGCCGGACAAGGCCAAAACCAGAGCTTGAAATTGCATTTTGGATGGTCAACAGGAGCAGCTGTGATCCAAACACTAGGGTCACCCTCAGCTGCCTTCCTAGGCATGTTAAAGGGAGCTGAACCAGAAGTGCAGAAGTAAGGACTTAACTTGGTAATCATAGCAGATCATGGCACTACAGCCTCATACTATGATCTTGCAGGAATATCCTCATCAAAAGCTGAGCAAATGTCAACAGTAGACCATTAGGACCATGAGTCAAAATAAACCTCCTGTCTTTATAAATCAACCAATTGTGGGTATTCAGTTACAGTAACAGAAAATATACAAAGAAACATGAGTTCCCACTTCCATCCAAAAACCAGTATCAGACTCAATGTTAAAAACATCAAAAACATTTAAACTAGGAAAACTGGGGGGGGAAAAAAAGCACTATAACCATCTTTTTAAACACTATCTTGAGCCCAGTGCAGTAGTCTAGCAGCTAAAGTTCTCACCTTGAATGCACCAGGATCCCACATGGCAACAGTTCTAATCCTGGCAGCCATGCTTCCCATCCTGTTCCCTCTTTGTGGCCTGGGAAAGTGGTCAGGGATGGCCCAAAGCCCTGGGACCCTGAATCCATGTGGGAGACCTGGAGGAGGATCCTGGCTCCTGTCTTTGGATTGGTTCAGCTCCAGGTGTTGCGGCCACTGGGAGGATTCTTCTTTCCGTATCTCCTACTCTCTGTATATCTGACTTT